CCAGGAGGTCACGGTCAAGGGCACATGCCCTAGTTCCAGGCTTGATCTCCAGTAGGGGGTGTGCAGGAGGCAGCCGATCCATGATTCTCTCTCCCTCCCCCTTCCTCTTTGAAATGAATTAAAAAAAATAAAAAGGAATGGATGCTAGACCCCGGAGGAGGAGATGAGAAGCCTGTAGGATAAGTGTCCTGTCTCCTCTTCCTCCCTCGGCAGCTTGGGCATGAACCACGACGACGACCATGCGTCCTGCGCCGGCAGGTCCCACATCATGTCGGGGGAGTGGGTGAAAGGCCGGAACCCCAGCGACCTCTCCTGGTCCTCCTGCAGCCGAGATGACCTTGAAAACTTCCTCAAGTGAGTCCTGGAGTCCCTCTGTGCCTTCCTTGCAATAGGAAGCACTCCCAGAAGACGCCACGTGGGGTCTCCGCACGTGTGGGCAGGGGAATGGATCTCCCAGAATTCTCAGCTGCCCTAGAACATGGTCAGTGCAGAACCTCCCATATCTGCCAAGCTTTCTCCCACATGTGCACCGGGTGTGACGTGTGCACCTGGTGTGATGTGTGCACCTGGTGTGGGCTGTGCCCTGGCTGTGCCGTGTGCACCTGGTGTGATGTGTGCACCTGGTGTGCCATGTGCACCTGGTGTGATGTGTGCACCTGATGTGATGTATGCCGTGTGTACCTGGGGTGCCATGTTCACCTGGTGTGGGCTGTGCCCCGGGTGTGCACCAGGTGTGACGTGCGTACCCAGCGTTGAGGAGAGATCCGATAGGATGTTGGGCACTCAGCTCATATTCATAAATCCTTATTGATCGATTGAAATGTCCACACCGTGACCATGTCTTGGAGCTGCTTCCTTTCTCTGCGTGTTTTGACCATGAGTGGACACCACTGTATCAGTGGCCGTGGCGGCAGCAGAACAGAGGTGTCTCCACGCTCAGGCTCCCCTGTGATAGGGACGCGCCTTCACCAGGGACAAGGGCTCGCTCAATATATCTTCACTGATTGGAGTGAGGAAGGGAGAGGGAGAGAGAAACATCAATGAGGAGAGAGAATCATGGATCAGCTGCCTCCTGCATGTCCCACACTGGGGATGGAGCCCGCAACCTGGGCCCGTGCCCTGACTGTGACCTCCTGGTTCATAGGTCAACGCTCAGCCACAGCCATGCCCCGGGCGGCCCGTAAGTAACGTGGAGGCGCCGCCTTCTCAGTGACTCACAATCAGAACACAGTCCCAGGCAGTGCTTTTGTGCGTCGACTGACCTCTTGTCCATTTCAGGTCGAAAGTCAGCACCTGCTTGCTGGTCACGGACCCCCGGAGCCAGCACGCCGTGCGCCTCCCTCACAAGCTGCCTGGCATGCACTACAGCGCCAACGAGCAGTGCCAGATCCTGTTTGGCACCAACGCCACCTTCTGCAGAAACATGGAGGTAAGCGGTCCGGGTGGGGGGGCCCAGGAAGGAGCATGTGGCTTCTGCTGGAGGACACAGTATTCACACTCCACGCACCTGTGCACGCACACACGTGTATATGCACGCACATATGTGTATATGCATTCACACACGCATGCATGTGCATTTACACACATGTATACGCACATACACAAGCAGGCATGAATATACATCTACCGCCATGGGCATTTGCACATGGAGCCGAGTGCACACATGGGTGCACGTAAACACATGTTCACACACATGCTCCTACACTCAGAGTCAGATTTTGTATGTAACGTGTTCACTAAGAAACGCATATTGCTGGAGTATGCATTTGGAGTATGTAGTTGTTTTGTATTTGGAATTACAGAAAGATTGAATTGTTTCCTTGGTAAACTTCTGTCCTTCGTCATCATGCATGGACAGATATTACTCTGAGAAGGGCTTCAGAGTCCCCACCCGGCGCCTCCTCGTGGGAGACCAGGTGCTGGGCGCCCGCGAGTGGCATGTGCTGGCTTGCGTGAGTTCTTCTTCTTCTTTTTTTAAAGAAAATATTTTTATTGATTTCAGAAAGAAAGGGGGAGGGAGAAGGAGGTAGAAACATCAATGAGGAGAGAGGATCATTGATTGGCTGCCTCCTGCATGCCCCACACTGGAGATCGACCTCACAACTCGGACATGTGCCCTGACCTCCTGGCTCATAGGTCGATGCTCAACCACTGAGCCACACCGGCTGGGCTAGTCTTTAGGTGAAGTTTTGAATCCAGAACCTCCTTGCACTGGACTCCACATCCATCCTTCTATTGGCATTCACCATTTGGAGCTTAAAGTGATGGGGTGAAGAACTCTGGGAAAACGCCACTTCAGGTGGCGTGGGAGCAGCCTGGCTTCCACTGTGTGCCAGGTCCCTGCTTCCTGAAACACCTGCGGGGCAGAGGACCAAGGAAAGCTAGAGCCCCGCCCGTCCTCCCTCCTAGGGCCCTGGAGACCCCCCACCACCAGCATCGCGTCTCTCATTGTGCAGGAGGCTGGTACTATGAGGCTCAGAGCTGCCCATGGAAATAAGTGCAAAAAAAAAAATTGGCATCGCCCAATTGGCACTTGCTGCAAATCCTTGGCACATAGAGCCGTCTCCTCTTTTAGCCAATGGTAATGTGCTGTTTTTAATTCAGGAAAGCGTTTCAAGGAAGTCCAAACCTGCACGTTGTAAACAGCGGGTAGTAAATATTTATTAGAAAGGGGAGACGAACTTGACCGATGAGCCCAGTCTGGCCTTTTTTCTCTATGCTGACAGGTCACTCCTGTCCTTGTCAGCAATCCCTGCAGAGCAGTCTCCGTCCAGGTGAGCCTGAGGGTGGTGACAGCCGGAAGGAGCAGCGTGGCATTGCCCCCTCCAGGCCCCGATTGTTTTTAAGTAATTTTTTACAAATATATTTTTATTGATTTCAGAGAGGAAGGGAGAGGGAGACAGAGAGAGAAACATCAATGAGGAGAGAGAATCATGGATCGGCTGCCTCCTGCACGCCCCCTACTGGGGATCGAGCCCATAACCCGGGCATGTGCCCTGCCTGGGAATCGAACCCGTGACCTCTTGGTTCATGGGTCAGTGCTTAACCACTGAGCCACACCGGCCAGTCCAGGGTGGTCACGCTCAGCTCGATTTAGGAACTACCGATCTAAACGAAACCGGCCCCTTTAACACCCAGGGACACACCTGGCCAGAGTGGGCGGCTGGCCGGACGGGAGCCCCGCCCTGCCCCTCAGACGGACGGGCCGTGCGGTAGGAAGCTGGGTCGGACTCCAGGGTGAGTGCCGCCTCGCCTGCCTGGGCTCAGCTTCCTGCCCGGCAGCTGCAGCTCCTCTCAGAGCTATTGGGCTTGGCAGCAGAAGGCCCCATTTTCCAGCAGCGTTCGAGCATGCACAGCAGACATCCTCCGAAAACCCACCCGCCACACCAGGTGGCCCCAGCCAGGTGACGGTGGTCTCTGCCACAACCTGTAGGAACATGCAAGGAGGGACCAAACCCGGGACTCACGGAACCTTCCAGAAGCAGGCCTGGCATGCCGGTGCGGGAAAGGGCTTCAAACAGCAGGAGTCTGTGTGGAAAATGTGGATTAGTCACTTTCACATCCAGCGCTTAGCATTTCATTTTATCTCCCTCTTGGCTGGTGTTATCAGCAGCACATTTCTAAGGGTTTTTTACATAACCCTTCCCTTCAGCACTGTGTTGTGTCAGAGTGTCTCTCCAGGCGCTCAGCCGTGCCGAGTGAGGAAGGGGATCGAGACCACCCAGAGGGGACCTCAGAGGGGCACGGTGGGTTAAGAGAAACACAGTGAAGCCTCAAACGCACGAGCAGTGATGTCTTTCTTCCGAGGGACCCACACCTCCCCACAGTGCCACAGCATCCCAGGGAAGGCAGCTTGCACCGGGCGTGTTTGTTACGCAGCATCTCGAGGGCCTTTGCAGCACAGTGCACTTGACATGATGTTCACGGGGCAAACATTAAAGGCAGCCGGTGAGGGAACAGATGCTAGGGCCAGGGAGCAGTTTCATTTCCCTGATGCTTTGCGCTGGGTCAGTGGCATTCGCTGGTACTTAAGGACTGCTCCTAGGGCGGGGAGTTGGGGGACCCTGGGCACCCCACCCCTGATTCGCTTGACTGAATACACCTTTATCTGCAGAAACTGTTTTAATGTGCGTTTTATATATATATACACTAGAGGCCCAGTGCACAAAATTTGTGCACAGGTAGCGTCCCTAGTGGCTGCCGGCCAGGGCCTCCCTTTGTTCCACGCCGCCCTCTGGTGGTCAGCGCACGTCATAGCAAGCGATCGAACTCCTGGTCGGTTGAACTCGCAAGGGGACACTTTGCATACTAGGCTTGTGTGTGTGTGTGTGTGTGTGTGTGTATTTTTTCATTGATTTTAGAGAGGAAGGAAGAGAGAAAGATAGAACCATCAATGATGAGAGAGAATCATGGATCAGCTGCCTCCTGCACGCCCCCTACTGGGGATGGAGCTTGCACCCCGGGCATGTGCCCTGACCGGGAATCGAATCCTGACCTCCTGGTTCATAGGTTGATGCTCAACCACTGAGCCAGGCCAGCCAGGCAGAAGTTCTTCATTTTATTATAATATAATTTATTAGTGTGTTTCCCTTTATAGTTCAGACGTTTTGTGTTCTATTGAAGACATATTTGCCTGACCTCATTCTCCCTTTTTTCTTTCTTTTTTTTTTTTCTTTTTTTGATGATTAGGAAAGTTCAGTGGGAAAGCGCTGTCTATAAAATGCACAATAAACAGGCCGCCTTCCTCCTCCCTCTCCTGAAGGCCCATTATGTCTCCTAACCCCCACACCCGGCCCCATACATTCCTCCTGGCTCAGCCTTGCCCCCAGGACACATGTCCCCACCGCCACCGCTGTCCCCCAGAGCTCTCGGGTCAGAGTGCGCGGAACCAGCCGCGTGATGAGGTGCCGCCGGTCGCGCTTTACGGGACCAGCCGGTGCTGTGCTCAAGGCTCTCACCTCTTCCCGCTCACGTGGGGCCGTGGGGCTTCCCTGAACCCAAGGGCGCAGCATTCCGCCTGAGTCATCAACTTCTCTCGGGCCCCGAGCAGCGCCAACGTCCTTGGAAACTAAGAGGCGCTGGGCTGTTCTGCGCTCTGTCCACACCCTCGGGCACTGCTTTCCTGCCTTTTTCTCCTTCATCTTTGTCCCGCCCACATCTCTTTTCTCATTAATCCTCACCCGAGGATATTTTTCCATTGGTTCTTCTTTGGTTGTTTTATTTTTTTAAATATATTTTTATTGATTTCAGAGAGGAAGGGAGAGGGAGAGAGAGATAGACACTGGTTCATCAGTCAACCTCAACCGCTGAGCCACACCGGCCGGGCATTTTTCCATTGATTCTTAGAGAGAGTGGAAGGGAGGGGAAGAGCTAGAGGAACATCAGTGTGAGAGAGACACATTGATTGGTTGCCTCCTATATGTGCCCTGACCACGGCCGAGGATCTAGCCTGCAATCCAGTTCCGTGCCCTTGACCGGGAATCGAACCTGGGACCCTTCAGTCCTCGGGCCGATGCTCTATCCACTGAGCCAAACCGGCCAGGGCTGTCCGTTCTCTTTCTGGACGTGTTCTGACATTAGCAGCGTGGACAGCGCCTGTTTTCCGTGCAGATGTTTGACTGCCCCGAGCTGTGCACAGGGACCCCGACGCTCACGCTGCCCAAAGTGCAGATGTTTGAGATTCCTGGGAACTGAGCTCGGCACACCCTTGGCGAGCCCCGCGGTGACTGCCCCGGCCTTGCCCTGGAGGAGACGTGTCCCCACTCCAGCTCAGGCATTTGTTTGTCGTTGATTGGGTTTGGCCTCAAGGAAACACTGTCTCTTAAAAGAGCCCCAAGTACATCTGGTCTCAATTTTCCGGCCACGAGACGGGGATTTGGGTGCAAGTAGTTTATCTGGGAGGTGATCCCAGGAAGCTCTGTCGGGAGGTGGGTAGTGGGAGGAGAGAGGAGTCAGAGAGGTGCACCGCCCGGCCGGTGTGGCTCAGGGGTTGAACACCTACCAGTGAACCAGGAGGTCACGGTTCGATTCCGGTCAAGGGCACAGGCCCAGGTTGCGGGCTCGATCCCCAGTGTGGGGCGTGCAGGAGGCAGCTGACCGTTGACTCTCCTCAGGGATGTTTCCATCTCTCTGTCCCTCTCCCTTCCTCTCTGAAGTCAATATATATAGATGTAGATACAGATTTTTTTTTAAAAGAAGACAGTCTTTAAAAAATATATTTTTATCGGTACATGAGGCGATGTTCACCCTCTGCCTTTCTCTCCTTGATCTTTGTCCCTTTCAGGTCTCTGTTTTCAGGTCAATCCTCACCTCCTCAGGAGAGGATTTTTCCCCTTTGGTTCTTTTTTTGGTGGTTGTTTTATTTATTTTTAAAAATACATTTTTATTGCTTTCAGAGAGGAAGGGAGATCCAAACCCCTAGCCGGGCCCTCCGGCGACCCCACGGTGACCCACACGCCGTGTCCTCGGCAGTCATGTTGCTTCTCTTTGTCACAGCATCTGATGTGCGCGGGGCTGTGGTGCCTGGTGGAAGGAGACGCCTCCTGCAAGACGAAGCTGGACCCGCCCCTGGATGGCACCGAGTGTGGGGCCGACAAGGTACCCACCCCCGCCAACCCCCGTGGGCAGCCCCCGTCCCTTGGGCATTGGGCACTGTTCTCAGACACCCCCGGGAAATCTGGCCTCCCCAGAAATGCCCACGGAGCCCACTCTGGGCAGAGGGCCACTTCCATTACCCCATTTTTTTTTCTTATAAGACACAAGAATCACTTGCTTATTATTATTTTGTAATATATTTTTTTATTGATTTTAGAGAGAAAGGGAGAGGGAGAGAGAGAGAGAACCATCAGTGA